GGACCAGAAGATCGCTCCTTCACGTGTCGTATTGCTGATGTGGTGATAAATGCCACCCGCATACTAACCCTGTAGCTGCGTCTGCCTGCACGCCAGTTGACTGTGGCATCTTCTAGAAGTATACCTAGAAGTCGTATAAGATCCTTTACTAGATTTTCGGTTATTTTCACGTTTCAGAGGACAGTTTTACGTTTTTTTGGAAGTTTTCCTCATATGTAAGGTTTTATATTTTTGTATGTTTTTTTTTCTCTCATCACTTGCGTTTTTAAATTAAAATTTAGTTAAAGCGACATATTTCGCACGGTAAGGAAAATGATTTGACAAATATTTGAATTACATTTACTACATAGGTCGCTCTTTTTCTAATAACAATAAACCTGTTCATTTGATCAGAAAATGGACATCAGACACCGAGTTAGTATTTGTTCACGGGAAAACAATAGGGCAATACTAGCCCTTCTGCATTCTGTTCAATGCCCGAGTGTGCACTGTGCATTTTTTATATAGCGACGTATGCATTATATAATTGAAGTATTAGTTAATTAATTTATTTTGTACACGAAATATATCCATAATTTTCATGTAACAAAATATTTGGGGATTTTGGAACTATTTATATATTTTCTGTCACGGATGTTTCCTGCCATCGTGGCTATGCATCACCTTCACGACGTCTATAGCGGCAAAACTACATCGAACGTCAGTGATTGTGTTGCAGATTTCGTTTTCTCTGGATTCTATGAACCTTTTTTATTTAGTTACTCGAATTTGTTTATATTTTCCTCTCTTCGAGTGGTGTCGAGGCAAGTTTTTAAGCATTGCTTCAGGGGAACCAAATAAAGTTCTTAACTTGGTCTATCCCGATCAGTAGTCAAGGTAACTAAAAAAAATCAAGTTGCGCACATTCCAGGACTAACTCATCTGTAATCACCCCAGAACTCAACCCAGCAATAGATGCACGTCGTACAACAAACTTAAGCAAGGTTACACCAACAGAAGTTCTTGTGTGCATGCCAGATATTCCCTCAATTTCTTCGGATTGACTGCAGTCCTCTTTGACGTCACTATGTTGAACCAATCATAAGTCTGAACGTCACTGAGGTGAGCCAATCCGAGGCGAAACGTCACTTGGGCAAGCTAATCACGAGGCAGAACGTCATCAAAGTGAACCAGTCACGAGGCAGAACGTCATTAAAGTGAACCAGTCACGAGGCAGAACGTCACTGAGGTGGCCCAATGACGAGGCAAAACGTCACGGAGGTGGACCAATGACGAGGCAGGACGTCATTTGGCTGCCAATGACAGCGAGTTTGTCACGCAGCAGGACAAGTAAGGCGCCCGCATCTCATCAAAGGTTGGAATTGTAGGCCCTTAGAATCCGGTTTAATACTTTGACATCCATGAACATCGATAGACAATGGTGAGAAATAACTTCTTGAATGCAGTTTTACATAATAAATGTAAAACACCTTTTCCCATAAGTAAAGAAAAGTTTCCAAATACGATGAGTACTAATATAAACCTACAGGGAAAACTAATAATTTTCTTACCAAATTATTTTATTGCCATTTTTAATTATGTTGCAAAAGCTGCAATTAATAGGTTGATTTTTACGATAGCAGGCGCTATTGGTGCAATCTTAGCTTTTTTCATTATTATCTATTAAAATATGGTGTTTTTGCACGCAGATATACTAAGAACGAATTGCGAATTCTCCTTCTGCCACATCAACCTACGTATTTTACCGAGACACACGGCTTAATTAAGGTTCAGACTATATATTTATTCCTACTAATAAGTCGCTTTATACCACACGCATTCCTGAGCAGATTGGGACCACTTGAGCGACAGTCTCACTTGACTGCTCTGAATAACAACAGGAATTATTGAGTAAATAAGACAAATTTGTCCGGTATGCGTTCTAGAATAAATTTGCCTGTACAATAGCAGAAATATAAAATATATTCCTGGACAATTCCAGCAGTTGGGTTTATATAAAATGCAAGAGTTGAAAGCCTGCTATCAGAAAGCACTCCCGATGTTCTAAATCCGTTTTCAATGACAAATAAATGTGTGAGGATTCTAAAGCGGCGAATCAGACATATTCTTAGTATTTTTAGTCTAAATTGCAGAGCCTGACTGTTTGCGAGTATTAAAAGTTCTAAAAGTGTGAATTCTCTGTTTAAAAAAGTGTGAGTTCTATGTTTAGCTTGAATTTGGTCGTCACTTGGAGCAGCGAAGCGGACCGGTTTGGTAGCCGCGGTCACTTCAGTGACGTCAATGAGCAAGAACTGGCCGCTCAGGAGGCTGCCCGAGCAGGTCTTGACGTCGTCGACGAGGTGGTGGTTAGTGATCCTGGGGGCCCTAGGCTTCAAAATTCGCTAAGTGAACGCAAGTATTTACGCTCTATTTTCATGTCTGTGATTGGTGGATTTTGCTTAAAAGACCGTCAATGATTGGCTGATGAACTTACGATCTCTTAACTATTTTGGAAAGTATAGGCCCTGATGTCTTACGCTGCGACCAGAAGACCTAGGAGCACAACTCGGTGAGATTTGCAGCGATCCGTGCTTATTTGTTTGTAAAACACTTCCGACTGTTGGCCTATGAATTTTATAAATACAAGCAAAAGACTAGGCGATTAGTGTCGCCAATCGACGAAATTCTAACTAAAACTGCGAGATGATAAGCGAGTATATATCCATGTGACTGTATCTCAGGGCACTACTTCTGTTATGGACTGAATTTTTACAGGGGCCAATTTTAAAATAGTTTGAATGTCTTTAAGTATTTGGCCTCAGGTTTCAACAATAAAGAATTAAGTAATTTAATCTTTACCTGTGATTATGAAATTTGTGAAAAGCCCTTAAATCAAGAAACCGAAAAAAATTATAACCATGCCACAACGATCGCGAATATCAAAATTCGTGCTTTTAATTACAAGTTTGTTAGATTCGGCAAAATTAACTTCAGATAATGAAGTAAGCCGACCAGGTTATTATATGCAGGCATGGCAGAAAACAAAAATTGTACGAGACCAAGTATGAAAGTGATTTGAAATATTCAAGAATTTCACTGTCATGATCTTAGTACCATTTGCGATGAATTATCACCGTTAATGAATTAATTTTTAAATTTTTTTACGGTAATAAAAAAATTCGGTAGAAATTTCGGTAAAAATTACGGTAGTAAAAAATCTTAAAAACCCATTCTAAAAATTTGATTGATGACTCAAAAGGCTCGGTTTGCGATATTTTGTGCATCACAATTTGGGTGATAATTATTGTACATTTTTCACCAACGTTACCGCATCTGACTAACGCAATTAAGGAAGTTATTTATAATCGGATGAAGCTATCTTAACGAAATGAAGAGTTAATATGAATGCTTTACAAATTGAATATAAAGATTTGATTTAAAAATTTAGTGCTTGCATGGAGCTTCTGAGATCCTGTATCACAAAACAAAATTCCACTGCGTTATGGAATGTATTCTGCGATACCTATAGTTAAAAAAACTTTGGCGGTATTTTTGAAATATTTTATGGATAATCAGAGTGCTCGTAATATCCAGATAATTCTTGGAAGAGTGTCGCAAGTGTGCACTCATCACATTACTGATCGTGCCAGCGTCATCACCTGCATGCAATAAAACGGAGACCTGATGTGGTTGTGCATAGGAATATCAACAGAACACAGTTTGGATTTTGCTTGGTCTTTATGCAAATTCATTACAAAGCAATTTTCGTTGATAGACGCTCGCTCATAAATAATCTTTAAATTAAACTTGTGATATAATATTGGGCTCTACAAAGTGGAGAATAAATGCATTACAGCTCCTGAAATTCCTGCACTCATCGCATTACTGATCCTTGAGGCATTTTATCATGCAAGATGAACAATTTATACAATTTTATTTTATTCCTGAATTGAAATATGCATTAAATCGAAGAAACTTTCGTGTGAGGAAATCCTAAATAATGCTTATCATGGTAAGTGAAGCTTAATCAATTGAAATATCAGAAAATATACGGAAAAGTCACATGCTAACATGTCTTGCATGCTATCATGTCCTCTTCTGATAGCATGATAACGGTAGCTTCGGCATGAGGTTCACTGCATGGCTTCATCGCCCTTGGCGTCTTATATTATAATGTTTTTTAATTCAAATATGGAGCTTCGGCTACGAAATATGCTATATATTTTTGTACCTGCAAAATATATATGTTATATATAAATATCTAAATTTACTTTTCTTCTAAGAGATTTTCTAGATATAACAGGTAGAAAAATATATCTGCTTTTCTTCGTTTATATTGTTACTTTATTAGATACGATTTGTTATGCTTGTTGTCGGGTTTGATCTGAAATTTATATTGTTTACGAATGTATACAAGGAAACCGGGACATAATGATTCTTGTTCACATTAAAGATAAATGTCAATACTATCGATAAGGTAATAAACAAAAATTTCTGAACATGTTAAATCAAAACACCCATACGTGCAAAAGTGTAAGATATAAGCTCATCATTAAATCCATGCATCATTATTTGGATCGTGACTCATTTAGCATTGAAAATTCATCGACAATTGCATGAAAATGACAAGGAATCACAATACATCATGCCTTATGAATTGCTTGCTTGTTGAGAACAAGCAAAGAAAAAAATTGTATGATATTCTATGCGTTTAGATGGCGACGATAACCTGGATTGCAAAAATGCAAGCTTTTGCATACAATAGAAACGAACTGAATAACTTTATGATTCCTCGGAACAACGAGAGACGGACAATACAACTGCAGACGAGTTCTTCAATTTTTTTTTATAACACGAGGACAAGAATTAAGTAAAATAAATTCTTTATTTCTTGCCGCACCATTCACTTTTCTACTAAGGATAAAATTTCTTTGAATTAAACAAAATTTTATCTTTCTCTCGCAGAATTTGGCTCTTTAACGACTGCAGGTTGAATCCGTGGTTGTTAAGGCTGTCGTGAAAACAAATTCACTTTTGAAAACATACATAGTTAATTATTATGCCGTAATTATGTTCAGTATATTATAAATTTTAGCCATAAAGTTTAACTGTGCGTAAAAATTAATGATCCCATGCAGTGATACGAGCTCGAAATATGATTATTAAAATTAATCAACCTAGATAATTAAATGAAAATTTAAGTGTAAAGTGAATGAATGAATTGAATACAGTATAAACATTCATAACCGAGTATCTTAAGCAAAGAAAAAATTTCAGATATATTTTAAAGTTTAGAGGACAAGACAGAGATGAGCGGAAGAAAGTTATATGGCGTATTCCCTTGGTTTATGTTTATTTTAAGAAGGATATATGACATGAAATTAAAGTCTCAGTATGAAACTTGTTTCTATTTTGGTAAAAAATTGTGACCGCATCCGAACGAGTGCATCGAAATAGTAAAATCAAATAAATATTTTTCATACAAAGTTCCCAGCTCTAAAGCGGATGTACGTATATAATGGGACTTCCTTAATCAAGACCATATTTTAAGATTATCGGAATATGGTGCCTGAAAATAATCCTACCTGTACACGCCACCCGGATTTGCATGTGACACCAGATTCATACTGTACATGTTGATGCTTCGAATTTTTTGCTCGTTTAGTCCCTCCATCGCTACCAAATGAGTGTTGAGTTATTAATATTGAAGCATCACGGGACACAGAGGTTCTCACAAAGCATTTCAGTGAAATTTATTATCCAGGTTTCGTATAGTTGAAGAATAGACGTCGACTCAAGATGACCTCAGAGCAGCTCTAGTTGTGCACGTAATAACGGTGAAGATATCATTGGATGTTGCCTTGCAAGTTATTCCGAGAAGAAAATAAGGGGAATACTTATTTGATGAAATGATAAAGTTTTAATGTTACATACATCTTGGGAAGTTTGTAAAACTCTGAGTTAAAAAGTGCTAGACGTGAAGTAATCTTGGTATGTATGGTGAAGGTGCTACTTTGCAAGCGAATAAGCTGTTCCTCTTGTGAAAATGACTTAGTCAATGGGATCGAGAAATATATATTTTTAATGCAGTATATTCAGGAATGATACTCGATGAACATTGAGGACGTTTGATCCACGCAAGTGCTGAGAAGGCGGAGAAGATGTCGCTCTTGACATTGTGCTTCGTCGTGCTGCTGCTGGTGCTTCACTACATCATAGACCTCAATACTCTGAGGTCAGTTCTCAACTACATCATAGACCTCAATACTCTGAGGTCAGTTCTCAACTATATCATAGACCTCATTACTCTGAGGTCAGTTCTCAACTACATCATAGACCTCATTACTCTGAGGTCAGTTCTCAACTATATCATAGACCTCAATACTCTGAGGTCAGTTCTCAACTATATCACAGAGCTCATTACTCTGAGGTCAGTTCTCAACTATATCATAGACCTCAATACTCTAAGATCAGTTTCACTATATCACATAGACCTCAATACTCTGAGGTCAGTTCTCAACTATATCACAGAGCTCATTACTCTGAGGTCAGTTCTCAACTATATCATAGACCTCAATACTCTAAGATCAGTTTCACTATATCACAGACCTCAATACTCTGAGGTAAGCTTCACAATATCATAGACCTCAATACTCTAAGATCAGCTTCACCATAACACGGACCTCAATACTCTGAGGTCAGCTTCACTATATCACAGACCTCAATACTCTGAGGTCAGCTTCACCATAACACGGACCTCAATACTCTGAGGTCAGTTCAAAACCATTTGCCTGTCTTCAAACGTCCCCAATCTTCCATGATTTTTCTTTGTAAGCACATCCAAATGGAAATTTCATATCTAAACTTTATTTTCCATAATTAACTTCATTGGGCCTTGAATAATACAAATGCTCATTACGCGTATGAGGGAAATGGTACCAGCTAGCAGACGCAGTAACTTAGGTAAACTGCAGCAGTGTACTGATGTACTGCTGATGTTACAGTGTACTAATCTACTGCATGTGCTACAGTGTACTAATGCTCTGCATATGCTACAGTATACTAATGTACTGCATATGCTACAGTGTACTAATGTACTGCATATTCCATAGTGTACTAATGCACTGCATGTACTACAGTGTACTAATGCACCGCATGTGCTACAGTGTACTAATGTACCGCATGTGCTACAGTGTACTAATGTACTGCATGTGCTACAGTGTACTAATGTACCTCATGTACTACAGTGTACTAATGTACCTCATGTACTACAGTGTACCAGAGTTCCTGAGCGACTACGACACGCGTATCTCTGCTCTGGCTAACGCAGCAGTGCTGGCGCAGTGGACCTGGTCTACCAACATCACGCGTCACAACCAGGACGTCATGGTAGGTAACGCAGCGTTTATGTTATTGTTACGTTACATTACGATGACGCGTCAACACTCTGACGTATTGCGTAGGGGAGTCTGGAGGTCAGGATGCTGTCATACATTCATTAGTAAAATTGTATTTAATGGTAAAGTTAGGCTAAAAATTTTATATTTAGTTTTTTACTAACAATGGTACAATGGTTGATGGCACTTACATCATTCATTACTTTTATATCATAATAAAGTTTCTCTGGCTTAATCATCATATAATCATGACAGGACGAGGCGGCCATGGAGGAGGCCGTGTACCAGGCACAGGCGTACAGCAAGGCTCGCTGGTTCCTGACGATGCACCAGCGGGGGCGGCTCCCCCTGAGCGAGGACCAGCGGCGGCAGCTCGGCAAGGTGGGGCGTGCCGCGCTCGCCGAGCCTGACCGCTCGCGCCTCGCCGAGGTCCGCGCCAACATCAGCGCGACGTACGCTAGAGCTCAGATCCGGGTTATGTCGGATGATGCGGTCAGTTGTAGATTAATTAATTGTAATTTATTATATGTATTTATTACAAATGTTTGCTTTGATCGCTTAATTGAATCGGATGCCTCGCATGATGCGGTCAGTTGTAGATTAGCTAATTGTAATTATATTATATGTATTTATGTCAAAAGTTTGCTTTGATCACTTGTATCGTATGCCACGCTTGACATGGTCAGCAAAGAAATATTGCTTGTTTTATCATATTACATGCATTAATATCATAAGTCTGCTCTGTCAGTTATGGAATTGTGTTATTGTGTTCATGGTTGACAAATGAAACAGGTCAGCATAATTATTACCTGAAAAACATTTAATATTTAAAATTTCCAAATAAATTTATAATTTAATTAGAAGTAGAAGAAATATTTTCTATTGTCTTACTCTAAATTTAAATTAAGGGTTTATCAACATTGATGAAAATTGACATTCATCACGGCTAACATTTAAAAATTACAATAAATTTTTGTTATACATATATGGAACGATACTATGTCTGTTTTCTACAAAGTTCTAAATATTCTCTACAACATAGCTAATAGATCCTTATATAATATGTTTTAATTTCTCAGAATGAGACAAAAATAATGAAGCTAGAGCCAGACTTAACGAACTTCATGGCAGCGAACAGAAGCTACGAGTCACTAGCGAGCGTCTGGAGCGCGTGGAGGGATGAGGTTGGCAGGACGGTGAGATGAGAATAAACTTTTTACGTGAAAATAATTTTTTTTGCTAATGAAGAATTAATCTCCCACGTTAGGTTAAATTTACTTTGCTAGTCAAAAAAACTTAACCTCACGTATGGATGGTCGGTTTTGCTCGTCAAAGCTTTGTTGCTTGTGCTAATTGTAAGGAATAATTTTGGTAAAATAAAAAAAAATAACTTGGGCCTATTTACTCATTCACAATTAATGTCTATCTAATGAAAGATATTTTTACTCAAAACGTTCCTCGTTGATATTCTAGCTGAGAACGAATGATATAATTTGATCATTTACATTTTTTATTGACATTCATGGTTGTGGCAAAGAATAAATTTAGGAACTAAGTTTAAAAACGAAGTTATAATTTGGAATAATTGAGTTATAATTGAGAATGTGTCAACGTGTGAATAAAGTCATTAATTCTGATGCAAGAGAGTTAATGGAACTGTGGCGGTGATATACGTATTTGTGAGTCTAGAACCATCTATCCGAAATTAAGAAGACACATTAATGTATTTTAGCATAAAAGTTAACTACCGATCAAGGAATATTATTTAATGGCAACGTTTGTATAATATTTTTCTGTTGCAGGTAAGGCCGCACATCAAGACGCTGGTCGAGCTGCAGAACAAACAGGCGAGGAAGAACGGCTTCGCTGACCACGGAGACTTCTGGAGAGGGAAGGTCAGAAGTGTGTCAAAAAATTATTAAGATATTAAAAATTTAAAAAAATGTGTAGCCATGGATTTAGAGTTCATACGCTTATTCAGCGACTCGGTAGTACTTCTCTTATTTTAGACTAGTCTCTTTATAATAATATCCTCTTACAACATCTTCTCGGCCGTCAATAGCGACTGTATACAGGAGTTTCAACGCATCTTGCGTAGCATTTGTTCATCCTGAGTAGTTTTCAGTATCGCTCCGTCACCGCGTGTCACTTTTGGTACGACACTATTCAGTGCGGCACGATGTGGAGACGCTGTACGTATTTATTGACATATTATTAAGCCGATTCAAATTGTACTAGAATGTTTCACTATCGTCAATAAGTAATGGCATCTTCAACTTTTGCAAACCTAAATGCAAAATAATTTCGACCTAATGCTTGCTAGAGGCCAATGGCTCAGGCTTGAGGCCTCTGGCTGAGGCTTGAGGCCCCTGGCTGAGGTTTGAGGACTCTGGCTGAGGCTTGAGGCCCCTGGCTCAGGCTTGAATCCCCTGGCTGTGGCTTGAGGCTCCTGGCTGTGGCTTGAGGCCCCTGGATGTGGCTTGAGGCCCCTGGCTCAGGCTTGAGGCCCCTGGCTGTGGCTTGAGGCTCCTGGCTGAGGCTTGAGGCCCCTGGCTGTGGCTTGAGGCCCCTGGCTGAGGCTTGAGGCCCCTGACTGCGGCTTGAGGCCCCTGGCTGTGGCTTGAGGCTCTTGGCTGAGGCTTGAGGCCCCTGGCTGAAGCTTGAGGCCCCTGGCTGAGGCTTGAGGCCCCTGGCTGTGGCTTGAGGCCCCTGGCTGAGGCTTGAGGCCCCTGGCTGAAGCTTGAGGCCCCTGGCTGAGGCTTGAGGCCCCTGGCTATGGCTTGAGGCCTCTGGCTATGACTTGAGGCCTCTGGCTATGGCTTGAAGCCTCTGGCTGTGGCTTGAGGTCTGTGACTGCGTTGACGAACATTTGTTTCTGTATTAAATCTTCTTTGATCCGCAACTAAATTTTCATTGTCCACGCCCCTTGTGTGAGTTCAATAGTCAGGAACCGTAAAGACCATTGCAGTGGATGGCCGTAACCAACTATAGGCTGGATGATTTAGTTGGTGGCTACAGTGACAGAAAACTGCTTATTTTCTCTGATGGAAACATTCTAATTTAGCCAAATGACGATTCTCAATTATTTCATAAAACTGCTTCAGATGAATGCAATTATATTTTCTACTCGCTTTTGTAAGCCGCGTCACTTGCTTAATACTGATTTTCTCTTTTTCTCTATGCGAACGAATCTATCGTTACTAAACATTAATATTCTTTTCATTTCATTCAATCTTAGTTAAAAACATAATTTCTTGCCTGCTAGCATAATTCATTCGGAGAATATTATTTGATGTCCCAAATCTAATATTTATTCGATGTTTATTCCCATGATTTCTTGATTTTTTTTTTATTTTCATTGAATTGCAATATTCATTTAATTGCGGTATTTATTAAATTGCAGTATTCATTAAATTGAAATATTCACTGAATCGCAGTATTCATTGAATAACAGTATTCATTTAATTGCAGTATTCATTTAATTATGTTATTCATTTAATTGCCGTATTCATTTAATTGAAGTATTCATTTAATTGCAGTATTCATTTAATTGCAGCATTCATTTAATTGCAGTAGTCATTAAATTGCAGTATTTATTTTATGAATATAATGAATATATTTATGAATACTGCAATATAATGAATTGCAGTATTAATTATATCGCAGTATTTATTTAATTGCAGTATTTATTAAAAATTACAGTACGAGACCGAGGGGTTTGAAGAACAGATCGCGTCACTGAACGAACAGCTCTCCCCGCTCTACCGATCCCTGCATGCCTACGTCAGACACAAACTCATGTTGTACTACAATGACGACGTAGGTTGATGTGTTGTACTACAATGACGACGTAGGTTGCTGTGTTGTACTACAATGATGACGTAGGTTGATGTGTTGTACTACAATGATGACGTAGGTTGATGTGTTGTACTACAATGATGACGTAGGTTGATGTGTTGTACTACAATGACGACGTAGGTTGATGTGTAATGTGTTGTACTACAATGACGACATAGGTTGATGTGTTGTACTACAATGACGACGTAGGTTGATGTGTTGTACGTAGGTTGATGTGTAATGTGTTGTACTACAATGACGACGTAGGTTGATGTGTAATGTGTTGTACTACAATGACGACGTAGGTTGATGTGTTGTACTGCATCTACAACATACGTGTATTGTAATTGTCATTCTGATTGTACTATTAATGGCATGTGTTTGATGCCATACGTTTGTGTTAAGAGATTCGAAATAAAAATTTTTGACAAATTTCTATGATTAGTAATTTGGGATAGAAATTTTTTCAGTCATACATTTCGTATAGAAATTTTTTCAGTCATACATTTCAGAATTATTTTTTCTGTCATACCTGAGCGGAAAATTCTCGAAGTTTGACATATCCCTTATTCATAAGGACATCATCGACAGTAACGAATCTAAATCAATCATTAATGCCATTTGAGGTAAAAAATTACAAATGTTTTACAATAAATTATGTTGCAACAATAGAGCATTCTAAATTTGCTGATAACTAGTAGAATTTTGTACATGGTATCAAGGACCTATGTCAACTTGATTATTCGCATGTTTCTAGGAAATGTTCGAAGATGGTTTGATACCAGCCTGCATCCTGGGTGACATGTGGGGCAGGTGAGGCATTTCCGCAGATTATTATTATTTTTACTATTATTATTATTATTCTATAGAGCGGTTATCGTGGCGTCTGGTTCATGCGAACTTCGAAAGCGCCTTACACATAAGTTTATTAGCGATCAAAATAAATANTAAAGACGACTTCTACATTAGTAGCCACTTTCTTCGTCGTCTTTCGTATTAAATTCCCATACTGCTGAATTAACGCGTTGCAGGATGTCATTAACTTGTGCTAGGTTCTTCATTTTTATTTAACATACCGCAAACGGTTTCTGCAAACAAATTAACACACAAATGAACAAGCGTAAATTATAATAGAATATTGAAATAATCATGAATAACTCATCATTCCAACAGAAGTACTCTAGAATGAAAGTAGTAATAATATACGTAACAAGTATCCAAAAATAAATAGCTCCTTACCAAAACAGTGAGGGCATCGTGCTGTCGCACCAGTCGCAACCCGCTAACTGTGATACAAATTTCTATGGCTAGAACTTGCCTAATTCTACAAAGGAAAATTTTCAGTAATTTGTGCTGAACATGACTTGACATAATCTGCGGCTGCAATTATTATTATTATTATTATTATTATTATTATTAGTATTGGCATGCTTAATAGGTGAAAAGATGTATCCATATATAAATGATAGCAAACGGCTTTTTACCCATTTCTTAGGAAAGCCAGAATTTATTCTGCATTCAAGCGAAAATATCATTAATTTTTTTGCCATACAAAATCTAAGTGAAGAATACGCGTATCCCATAAAGGATATAAAAATATTCCTGAAATCAAAAATTGTTATAATTTATTATGCGTTTAAGTTGAAGTTTAAAAGAAATTCTAATCACATTTATTCGTCAGGTTTTGGACGGACATATACGACATAGTGGAGCCGTACCCCGACGCCATGTCAGTGGACCCCACGCCTGAGATGCTCAAACAGAACCTCACGGTGCTGGCCATGTACCACATGGCAGACAACTTCTACAAGTCCATGGGGCTGCAGGCAAGAATTTCACAAAAAATAATTATATTATATATATAATTCTCTGGTCATCAATCGCACGTATATATATATATATATATATTATATATTATATATATCTAACTATGTTATATAGAACAAAGTCTTATCAATATGGGTCAGAGGTTATTTTGCATCAGTGTTATGCTTATAAATATTAAATATAACACAAAAGTTAAAAATAAATCAAGTTTTAAGACTAAAATTTTCTCTATTTTCTAAAATTTTCTCTGTCAAATCTTGAATTAAAATTAGTTATATACTGCAATCCTCAACTCAATTGTCTGTCTGATTGAATTGAGAGACATAGTTGTATTGATAATTGAATTGATAAATATAATATTTTACATATAAAACTTTTACATGAGTTAAGTTAAACCTGCGCGTGAACTTACAGCCTCTGCCGGAGAAGTTTTACAAGCTGTCCATGCTTGAGCGTCCTGAGGACGGGAGAGAAGTGGACTGCCATGGCACTGCCTGGGACTTCCTCGATGGCAAGGACTTCAGGTTATTTCCAGTCCAATGCTAAGCAGGAGACATGTTTACAATCCATAACTCAGCAGTAGACTTGAAGTCACCCTATTTCAAATCGACATGAAAATTTGACCGCTGATACTGACAAGGCATTCACAATATTTCACACCGCTGCAGTTACTGATATTATTCATAAATCATATCTTACATCGCAAGGCTGGTTTTCATTACTCTAATGTCTCATATTACTGCAGTATTCCTTGAGTTAGTAATAAAATGATCGACAATTTTATTACTTGAATCTTACTTCATTGCTGACTTTATTCTCAGTATGATATAATATATATAAGCATGTATAAGACCAGGAACATGCAATACGCAACTAGTCAGTCTTCGCGTTGTTTCGAGGGGACTGAGTTAACACGTCTTGCATGTGTGAACGTGCAGAATTCGGATGTGTACTCAAGTAAACTTCAAGTACCTGGAGGTGATACACCACGAGCTCGGCCACGTACAGTACTTCATGCAGTACGCTCATCTACCTTACGTCTACCGGTGCGTATATCTACCTCACGTCCACCGGTGGGTACATCTGCCTCACGTCTACCGGTGCGCATATCTACCTCACGTCTTCCGGTATGTACATTTACCTTAACCCTCCAGTTGTCTTCATTTTCGGTACATGCCCTATGCACTATGGGCGTAGGGTCAGAAATGTGGGTCATTTTGACACGAAGAACACAGGAGGATTAAGTCTACCGGTGCCTCCTTGTACTTTTTTTCTACCTGTAAGTACACGTTACAGTACATGTAATAATGCGTACATTAACGTAACATCAACTGGTGCGTAAATGTTTATAACGTCTATCCGGCGCATACATCTATCATACATTTAACATTACCAATAGGGTAACATGGGGCAGCAAGCCCACTGCGGGTCATGGGCCCATAGCGGGTTTCTCGCTAAGTATGGCAGATATTGGCCCGTGTTCTCTACCGCCAGTCGACAGTTTCACTGGGATGAAGTGTACGGATTTACGTTTTGCTAAGTGTTTGCGTTATTAAGTTATTTATGAATAACTGTTTTAGTCCAGAAAAAAATTTTTTTGCTGCTAAATAAAATTTTTTTTGATTCCTGTAGATGGAGCATTTGAAATTACTGTGAATTATATTTTCAAAGTAATATTTATAGGGATAATTTTGAGATCAAGTTTAGACTATTAGCTTTTAAAATAAAATGTTGACACGATATAAATTGAAATGATACCTAGTGAGGCAACGGGCCCATGCGTGTCACGGGGCAAAGCGCCCATGGTGAAGTCTTGTGTTATACATCATTAGATTTGTCCTCAATGCCCCTTTCAAACTATGACTAGCTTTTTGAATTACAAATTACACTTCATATTGCATGATTTTTTGATTTGCCGCCTGAAGGCAGCAGGTTTAGTTTCTAAATATGCGTATTTATGACCCCTTATCGAGTTATTGACTCTTGCCTTGCTAAAAATTGATTTCAGCCAACACCAATGAGCCAAAAGTTGATGAGTTTTTATGGTGTTGGCTGAAATCACGATTAGGTACGAATTCTCTGCACATAATATCTGGATTATGGACGAAACTGGAACGAAGTTTTTTTCTGATCAACAAAATATATTTTTTCTAGTCAATGGTACATTTTTTCATGTTTAGGACGAATTTTTTATCGCAAATATATATTTTTCAAGTCAAGGATATATGTTTTCATGTCAATGAAATATTTTTCTTCACGTCAGTGATAGATTTTTGAAGCCAAGAGTATATTTTTTCAAGTTAAGTATGTAATTTTTTGAGTTGTTAATAAATGAGTGAATGTCATATTTTTTATTACATTTTCTTATTTATAACTGTAGAGTGTTGTTTTTTTCATTTTTAAACGAAAAATATGCATTTGTGGTAAAGGGACTAAGTGTGGGCGCCTTGCCCCAAGTCTATGGGCCCGTTACCCCAGGGGTGGGGCAATGGGCCCATTTTGACACTTTTTACAAAATAGTGTTTCATTAAAAATTGAATAAACATATAGGCGTCTAATTCACATCATACATTCCTCATTAGTTGTACCTTTAAACACAATAAAGAACCACCTCGTATCAATTAGAACTTCATCAAATTAAATTCAGTTTAAAAAAAGGGGAGGGCGCGCTGCCCCATGTTGCCCTATAGGATTTATTTGTTTCAACTATATCTGAATCAAAGTCTACCTTTTTCCGCGCACGTTTGCTGAAATTCATGTAACGTTTCTCCCCTTAATATACCGCTGAGTACATTTATTATTTCTTCTGTTCAGTCCACTGTTACTTCTTCTGTCTTCCGGTGAGCAAATAGTAATTGTACGTCCTCGACCTCGCGTAGTAATGTCGTATTTTATATATGCCGTTATTTATAACTGGCATATTTACAACTTAATATTATGTAAGTAAAAGGCAACGAAATTAGAATATCAAACTGAACCTTAAACGGCATGAAATTTGGAGGCTGTTAGCCATTTAGACTTTTATTAATATATGAACATATTTCCTAATAGGTAGGAATACAAACATACATACAGAGCAATAACCGTTTTAATAATCTTTATAAATTACATTTAAAAAAGTTCATAAAATATAATTGAAATTTGGTGCAGAGACGGAGCCAACGATGGGTTCCACGAGGGCATCGGCGAGCTCATGGGCATGACTCTAGCCACCGTCAGCCACCTCAAGTCCATCGGGCTGCTGCCCAGCGAGCCAACGTCAGAAGGTTCTACATAATTCACCCTAAACGTCCATATTTTTAGCCCTTACCCTCTGTTTCTGGCAATCAACAGAAATGCAATTTCATCTATCCCTTGCATAACATTATACACATATAGTGTAATTACATATATCATTTGTACCGTAACGTCTAATAAAAGTTTGCTAAGATCTATGGTGTGTTATATGTAATTCACCTAATAAGTAGAGCTATAGTGACACGCAAGAGACTATGTCTTTCACTCAAAGTACGCGAGACGCACACAAGATCCTATATCATACACTCAAGTTAAATTAGATAAAAGTTTAAACTCTATAACATTTCCTGACGATACTAGAGATCTTCATCGCAGCAGCGTAATTAGAATATATCTGTATGTACATCGACCTGTAAATGATTGTATTACAGGTGAAATGAACGATATTATTAGCTTGTTCTACTGATATTAAAATTAAAACTTGACACCTGTGTTAATCAAGATTAGTCAAAATAGAACAGAACCATTATGTACCTGTTGTAAACCACATCAAACTCTGCAGAGAACACCATAAATTTTTTGATGCGTACGGCGCTGAAGACTGTGACAACCCTGCCGTTCCACTACGTCTACGACCTCTGGAGGTGGGAGCTGTTCAGGGGCGACATCCCTGAGGAAAGATGGAACCAACGTTTCTGGGAGCTCAAGTAAACGCTCAATTAGACAATATATTCCATGTGATATCTAACATTCGTCAATTAGCCTTCGAGGAAATAAGACGAGTCATGCTTTCAAGTAATCAAACATTTCTCAATTCATTGCATGAAATAATTCATATATAACAGTTGCATCAGATACTTGTGTTTAAATGTCACAAAATTAAAGTTAAACTCTGCTTCCCTATTTCTTAGGATCCCATTCCTAAATTATTTACTAGTTTGGCCCAAGCTTGATTATTGTAGACGATTTTTATTTCCGAGCTGCATTGCATATAGTACTATCGTCGAATTAAGTTACTATTTTCAATTGAAAATTTGTTTCGTTTCAGATCTAAATATCTTGGAGTAAAGCCTCCTGTCGCTAGAACGGAAGAACATCTCGACGCCTTCAACATCTTCCACGTGAACAACGACTTCGACATGATCAGATACTTCACGAGGACTGTACTGCAGTTCCAGGTCTGATTTCTCGTGTGATCAAGCACTCTGATTTAAAGGTTTCTTTCTTTTGAAAACCAAAATAAAGGCGCATTTATTATATTTATTATATTAGTAAAATAATTATATAAATACATGATTCAAATCAAAACATTTCTGATATAAAAGTTTAGTTGTACTGAAGCGCTTGCATGAATTAATATCGTCTAAATCTGCATGTACAGCGACTATAGTAGCTAATGTTTCAAATTGAATAAAGTTTAATTTGTTATTACACTCTAAGCTGAAGAAAAGGAAAAAGAAACTGTTCGCAAAATAAAATTGAACTCACGGTTGCGTAAGTTTACGATAGTTTCATTTTATATAGTTTCAGTTTCATTTTATTGATTTTAATGACAGTTTGCGGGCGCATTGTGCGACATTGCCGGATTCGAAGGCCCACTCCACGACTGCGACTTTTCCAACTCAACGGCCGCTGGCGAGAAACTAGCGTAAGGTTTAACGTGTAAATATATTGGATATTTTCGAGAAAAACTATAGTGTATAATTCATGGTCAAATATGGTTCGACTCTAATAGTTTTGGAATAGTATAGTTTGATGGCTTTTACAAGGAATCTGACAAAGTTATTTTTATAACTTTCAACGTAATTTCTAAAAATTTTGCCATGTCTGAAACGAAACAATAACTAATTTTAATTTTACAGTGCTATGCTCTCCCTTGGATCGTCAAAGCCATGGATGGATGCCCTGGAACAGCTCACAGGAGGCCGAGTCATGGATGCCAAAGCCATTATCGACTACTTCGCGCCTCTGCAGACGTGGATCACGAACTATCTTCTGCAGCACAACCAGACGCTTGGTTGGGATAATGATCAAGTTTGATGTGATATTGACCGAGTATTTCGGTGCTTTCGGAAGTACAATCTTATATCTTTCCAATTGCTTTTGAACGGAGAGAAGATGTGCTGAAAAAACACAAGAACTGAGACGAACTGTGGATATGACGCTTGTGAAGCCAAGAACATGTGACAAGATGTGCTGAAAAACAAAAGAACTGCAACACACTGTAGATATGAAGCTTGTGAAGTCAAAAACGTGTGTCGCAGGACCTCGAAAGTTGCGGACTTTAATGCAATCAAAGGGAGAAGCAAATGAACCAGACTGTGAATTTTCTAGAACAAATAGTGGTCTGGAACGTAATTAAGCTGGATATTAGGTAATGAAGCAAAAGCATCAGATAGAATGTCAATATCCACTATGAACTGCCGCTCACTGGTCTTCCTAGTTGATGAAAAACTTGGTGTAAAACTTACTAGAAAAACTGAAACTTACTAGAAAAACAGAAAAACGCTTACTTGATGACAAACTTCTAGGAGTCAACATTTCCGAGTGTCGCTAGAGGCAAGAGAACGCGTCAGTATTTAAATACTAAATCTAAGTTTGAATTTATAGAGTTTGTGTGTCTCGAAATTCAATGACGGGATAAAGCAAGGTGAGTGAATGTTCTCGCTCGTTTTCATGTTCAAAGTGTTCATTGTATATATTTTTTAGAAGCTTGTCGACAGATGAAGACATAAAATAGTCGTAGTGGCTGAAAAACAATGGTGAAACTTTCTTCTGAACCAAAATTATTCCATTTGTAATTTCCCAAGTAAACGAAACCATATTAAAATTGTAGAAGTTTTTAATTTTAATTTATGTAGTCAAAAAATAGAGGCGCGACACGCTCGTTTCATGGCCGATGAGCGTCGAAAGAATGGTCGTATTGCGGGAGAATATTGCTGTTGGGAGGGCGAAATTTTCATGGCTATTGTCTTGATTACGCACGCCATTAACCAGCGGCTGTTCTTACACAGAGAGATATGAGTGGGTAACTATCCAAAAACTGATTAATTAATTAAATTTTTTGAGTCATATTGACCCATTTTTACCAGGATAAAGGGCGCATTTTTTTCTCAAGTTCTGGGTAAGAAAGTAAGAAAGTTTGTCACTATTGGCACACTCATTTATTTTTCTGAGTGTACGAGACTCGTGCATGCATGCAATGACCGCGCAAAAATCTGCCTTCTAGTCTAAAGTGTGGAACAATTGTGTTTATATTATGGGCCTTGTCACCTCTGCAGCACCAATGAATGTTTATAAACATTATTTGGACTTATTCAGGACAATGATAGAATTTATGTGAAAGAAAATTCCACAATCTCATCATCACTGACGACATCAATATTATTGGAACACACTCAAGTTTTGATTTACGAGTAATAATTTGCATTAGGATAATTATCAATAGTAATATAAGCATTAGGAACAGAATTGCTCTTAATATCGTGTACAAAGCACAGGGGCACTGTTGTTTCTGGAACTGAATCAAAGTAAACTTGAGTAAAGAGTATTGGAAGCAGTTACTACAGGATGCGTGGGTCGGCCTGTCGTCCACTGTACTTTCTTAATCGCCTTCTACACTCTTCAAATGCGTAGGACAACCAGGATTTAAAATTGGGTAGGGGCAAACAATGGTTTGATTTTGAACTCATGTTTCAGCAGGCAAGGTTTGTGACATTTAACTCTGTACAAAAATTACCTGGGGTCTTAATATAGTCATTTACTTTTAGTCGAGAAAAAATTGCTTCTTGGATTGAAATCTTTAAGAAACTTTAACTAAATGGAAATCAAGTTTTCGAAAACTGTAATGTGTTTTCAGTATTAGCGTTTTACGAAAGCAAGAGGTGTTTGGACGAATTTAAGCCATTTTTATTTTCTAACTTGTATCCATGATACGCAAAAACGCTAAAGGATAACTTGACTTTTTATCTTCAGTTGAAAATTAATTGATTTGACACCGCTGGATTTCATCTCTGTAATAGTTAAATTATTTTATTTCAAGATCTATACTTCTTTATCTACATGTCTACCTCATTTTAATTGCAATATTAAGAAAATACGAGCATCTAATGTTAAGATGGAAAATATTTCAGTGTTACTGTTCGTATGATTATGCATTACTGCGTACGATGGATTAGATCGGTTACGTCTCTAGCAAAGAGTAAATGCACACTATTAAACGGTTGACGATATATCAATGTTTACCATGACGACTGAAGTAAATCAAAATAGGACTGAAGCAAGTTGAAAAACTCGTATGATGTGTTGTTTTACTGGATTTTAATATGCACACACAATTAAGATGCACTTTTTCTATGAAGGGATTATTTATCTATATTAAGGTTAATTTGTACATTCAGTAAGATAGACTCGTAGGACTCTTAGAACTCTAAAAGACTCGTAGCTTCGCTGGCCTTTAGTGCAGCAGAGTCGAAATTCTTAATAATACAGAGCTAAGATTCGGAAATATAGTTCATTTCTTATCATTGAAAGTCAGAGGCTGTCCGCATTAAAAGCCAGGTATTGCTTCACTCGTCTTGAAAAGAAAACTATTTTCTGAAACTCGCATCACTTTAACAAAATGCAAAAATGTAAATGTATTTGACATCAAAATTAAATCACAATTGGATGTTTCCTAATTTCATAAAATGAATCGTTTTTATTTGCCTAAAACTGTCATTCATCACGCTAACGTCTTACGAATGTATCTTTAAATTATTACTGTAATTAATAATTCTAAAGCAGACCCAAATGTAGGAGTGTTGTTCTAACGAGTATGATTTCTGATTTGCTGTGTTGTTTGTTGTTGAGTTTTATTTTTTTGAAATATTGTTGTTGATATTTTAGTGTAGTTCTTAAGTATGATCAGTAAAAAATAATTAGATGCTTGCACAAGTTAAAAAGAATAACGCCATTTATGAACAACAACAATAATCGAAGCTATGGCGGGGAAATAAATTATGAAGAATTGAATGGAAACTTAGTTGTGTTTTTTTTTTTTTCACCGCGTGTGTAACAGTTTGTGTTACACACGCTACACACATATAAGTTAACTAATTTTTCACCGCTTAGTCATTGTCGCTATGATTACAGGTTTTATTTACCGCATTTTTATTATGCGAAAATAACTCATGATCGCTAATTAACAAGTATCAAATAGTATTTATATATGTTGATAATGTGCCGATGATCAATATGTTAACAATTTTCGGCAACTTGGTCGGAGTGCTCCAGCCCCTTGCCCGTCCTCCGATGACTTTCAAATTCAAGATAGCTATTAAATGAAAATAGATGATTGATAGTTAACAACAAACATGCCTATATTATTGAACAATCATATATTCTATTTCAATACAGATAAAAATTTAACACTAAGATAAACTTATCATCAAAAACATAAATATATTTTCAAAAATAAAAACGCACATAGATCCCACATAGCCGCAAAAACATGAGCAGGAGATAGTTTGCGATGTTGCAGGAATTCATATGTTGTTACAGCAGGCGGTAGCCGGCTGCCACAACATGAATCAACATAAATATGTTATCAGTAGGTAAGTGCGCAGATAGACCCCACATGACTACCGCATTGGGCCCATACTTTAAAAAAAAATTAAGAGATCGTAAGTTCATCAGCCAATCATTGACGAGTTTTCAAGCAAAATCCACTGGTCATAGATAAGAAAATAGAGCGTAAGTACTTACATTCACTGAGCAAATTTTGAAAGTATAGGCCCAGGGGCAGTAGGCTGCAAGGCACAAGCACAGAGCTGCCTACTGCCTAATGCAGGCAAGCACAGGCAAGGCAGTAGGCAATCCACATGGCAAGCATAGAGCAGTTGTGGGCTGCCATCAAGGATAACTCTATTATCATGATTACTGTATTTAAATGTATAATATTTAAAATCCCTCTTAGACTGACACTAATCTGATTACTTTACACATTTGCACACATGCTCATACTGTTCGAAAAACACCGAAAACTCGAATGATCCGACAGCGTTTAACTGATCGGCTATTACAAATGAAATTTATGAGTTATCCATTAGACTGCACGCAAAAAATCTCCGATTGCGTGAAAAAACGAACGCTTCAGCCTAAAGATAAAAATATAACTCAGTACTCACGGCAGTGAGTGACAGAGAGCGCATTTTCTCGTGGACGGAAACGTGAAGTAACGGACGGACGGACGGACGGACAGACAGACGGACGGACAGACAAACGGACAGACACGACGAGCACAATAGCGCCTTTTTTTCCATAAATGAGAAAATGCGCTAAAAAGATTTGCATCCGGGCACGCACCTAGGTTTGGCATCATCTGAACTACTGAGCTCCATGACGAAGAAGAAGAAAGTTAAATAAATAATTAATAATAGTTGTTTCCAGGAATTATGAAGAATTAATTTGTGTTTTCTCGAACTTGGTGAGCACCTTGAATTGACAATTTTCATTAGTAGAAATTTTAATTTTCTCATTTTAATCTTTGTTTCGTTTATGAAAATGTCTTATAAAAATCACTGTCACTAAGAGGTGCTATAACATTCGTTAAGTTTGAATAGAATTCAGTCGATTCGTCGCTGTATCCTTCGTTAAATTTAAAATATTATTATACACTCTAAATAAGAGCCGTTATGCAGGCGGATTTCTGTGGTTTTACTTCACCTAAATGAATTACATTTGTAAAATATTGTATTCGTTTTTCATACGTAAACTTCTGCTTCTGCGGTTCTTAGGAATAATTCTCTACAACCGTCCTACAATAAATTCCTTAGCGAGGCATGCTTCCCATAACACCGCATTTCGTCATGGAGAAGCTCGGAGTAACAAAATATATGGAGGACTGTGATATCATTATGACCCACATGAATGTGAGATTATGCATTATTCATTTATATTCATTCATTTATGCATTATTCATTACTCAATTTTAGATTGGCGTATTTACAGTCGTGGCCAAAACTTTAGTCGCACGTGATATTTTATAATTGTTCAATTATGAGGCCTAAAATAAAACCAGGAAACGTCAAATTTTTATTTTTTAACTTGAACACAAAAGAAAACATCAACAAGAACGAAATCCAGTGAAAAAATTTGAAATATGACAAATTTCCCCAAGGTATCAATATCTGCAGTGCAGGCTCCTATTACGAAGAACTTCTTCTATTCTCTTAGGTAAGCTACAAATGAAATTCTGAATGATTTTTATTTCAATAGAGTTATATTCGTGCAAAATCAAGTCTTGTAAGTCTTTGTAGAAGTTGTCCGACTTGTGTTTACCCTCTGTTTGAGAATGGCCCATGAATTTTCGAAAAAGGTTCATATCTGGATAATTTCCAGGCCATGGTGTCAATTCTTCAATGTAAAAATCTTTAAGAAACTTTTTGATAGCACAGGCTCTATGACAAGGAGCTCTCGACAAGGAGTTACATCGGTCAGCAAAGCGATCGTCAATTGAGGAAATCAACTCTTCGATCAGAACCTTTTCGTACCAAACTGCATTTATTGCGGTGTTTTTGGGAGATAAAGTGCTTCTGTTCCATGAACTGAGAAGCAGCCCCAAACATGTACAGTTTTGGGCTGGGCGCCTTCCCATGGGCGCTAGACATTCCGGCTTGAAGCCCTCGCCTGTCCTTCTCCTGACAAAGGACTTAACCTGATGCGCCAAACAACCTGAATGGCGTTTCGTCTGAGAATATTGCCCTGCCTCACTGTTAAGCGGTCCATTCTCTGTATTTCCTGCAACAAGCAAGCCTGTCATTTATGTTTTTCTTGCTCAACAGAGGTTTGGCATTTCATAGCATACAAATTGGCATTTCATAGCATACAAGAGGAAAACATGTTAGCAGAGTTTTGTATAGTAGGAGATAACTGCCATGTTACAGATCTCGCTCGATGGAGCGAAGGAAGACGTTCATATTCACTTAGATTTAACGTCAATTTGGCTGCAGTCATTATTGCGATGCATCTTTCTAGCAGCAATTGTTATCATATCGGGTGGCTTGGTTTGTTCTTGTTAACTTCAATGACAAAATGCAAGAATAAAGTAGCCTTCTTTTGGCAAATTATGCAGAAGGAAAAAAATCGGTGAAAATTGTAAAGCGAACACAGTTGTTCATCTCGAAACGATTTGAGGAATAAAGTTTTCCTGATATATGGGTATTATTTCCAATCATTATTATTAGATGGCAGGATTTACTTGTTTACACACGTGCGATTGATGACCAGAGAATTCGTTGGTTTATATTATCAGTGAGTGGAACTTTTCTTCAGATGACGGTAGATAAAAAGGCAAGTTTCAGGAAGTAGTTTTTCTTTATTAACGACGTTTCGAATGCAACAAACATTCATTTTCAAGTTAGAAGATGACATTTTCACGGCCGCATCCGAGATCACGTCCATTACACTGCGCTGGCTCATCCTCTACATGATCAAGCATCCAGAAATTCAGAGGAAAATCCAAGCCGAGATCGACAGCGTCGTGCCGCGAGACAGGCTCCCCGGCCTTGACGACAGGCCTAGGTACGATTTAGTTTTGCAGGATTCTATGTTTGTTTACAATACTTTAATATCTGACTTGAACGTAAAAAATGTGTTTGAACTAGAAAATAATGGGAACATGAAAAACTTTTTGTGCTAAACTTTATTTCGATCGAACTCATAGCCATAGATACTCGTATCAGCGTAGGTTCTCTTGTGGCTGAATCTGTTTTGTGACCATTCCGCTGCCTCAGAACTGCACTCAAATTAAAATGTGTTTTAAGGGGAGCGTCTAGGGTAAAATTTATCTCGGCTATTTACGAACGGATCACTCTGCAACTTGGTACACATATGTAAAATAGAATTCTAAGACATTTTTGTTCGTGTAAATTTTTCGAAAAAAATGAAAAAAAACGTGAAATTCTTAGAAAACGGCCAAAAAAGGGGGTACCGTAGAAATCTATCTCCTCCTAGGATTTTCAAGCTACAACATTGAGACACATATCATTCGATGCGTAAAGACCATATCTAAAACGCAACACGAGGGTTTTTAGGATTTCTCATTTTTGTGGGTGTGGGAGCATTTTTCGTAAATTTTTCGAAAATTTTTCGATTTTCCCCCCCGCCACCCCCCATTTGCGGAATAAAATCCAAACTATAACGAAATTAGAAAAACGCCCGTGTAACGTTCTAGATAATTTTGTTGCGCATCGAATGGTATATGTCTCATTGTTGTAGCTTAAAAACTCTAGGAGGAGATAGGTTTGCAGTGACAATAAGTTAACTTTTCAGTAGAGCTCGTCAAAGTCCCGCGCGCATCGGAATAGGCACTCAATGTAGCAAGGATACAAAACTAAACGTTACTGCAGCTTGATTCCAGTCAAGGATGGTGGGAGCGACTGCATGCACACCTCATCATACGACGCCAGGCGGGTAACTAAGGTGCCCTTCAAGCAGACACTCTATTTAAAGTGCTCGCAGCGAATTTCCTCCCATTCTATTTGTTAAAGAACTACCCCACACCCCTCCCTTTCATGATCTGTCGTGAACGCATAAATCAACGTACAGAGATGATTTTGGTACCGTTGGATAGATCAGAATGTCAGCTTTAAGATGAGACTAAAAACCGGAAAAGCCAAAATCCAAAATTTTACCCTAGACGCTCCCCTTAAAACAAGAAATATGCTTCTGTAGAATTTCACGTTCATTTATGGAATTCATGCAAATTTTGATGAAAAAACGCTAAAAAATAACTTGCTACAAAAATCTGTTCTAAAATACGATTATGGTATCTACGATGCCTGAATTCAAATTGACAGCATATAACGAACACATGCTCTGTCCAAATCAATAAAGCTTCATAATGATATGCGCGGATAACTAATATAACCGAACTAAACCTAACATATCAATTTTTATGGTCAGTGCGCAAGTGAAATTAGCACATTTCTTTCAATTAACAATGTTGAAGATCCAACTTGATTTGCGAGATATGTTGATTAATGACCTAATTCAGGAATGACTAAACCCACATGTGTAATTTTTTCAGTTACTGCGCCGACTTGAAAAAATTAACACGTTACGCGAGTTTGATGAAAATCTGAGTTCATTTGTAATGGTTATTAGTTCGGAAATCACTAGGCCCACACGTTTCAAATTACTATAGTCACTGCACAGGTTCAAATAACGTAGGTTAACATAGTTCTCTAGTTTTATTGAAATCCAAGTTCATTTGCGGCAGTTGCATCACCAAATTAAGGAACGACTAGCCCACTTACTAGAAATTTTCACAGCCACTGCGCTTTCGGGAAATTACAAAATTTGTCAAATTAGTTGAAGATTCAACTTAAACTTAATTTGCAGTAGTTATCGGTTAATTGCCCAATTCAGAAACGGCTAAACCCACATACCTGTATTTATCCGTCACTGTGAATATGTAAAATTAATTTAATTTTTGTGTTTGGAAGAAATTAGAGTGCATTAACAGCAGCTAAAGGCTAATTTACCAATTGAAAATTGATTAAACCAACATACCTGAATATATTGTAGTCACTTCCCAGTTTCCAAGATTACCAGAATTTCTCGGATTAGTTGGAGTACAACTTAATTTTGGATATATATCGGCTAATAGTCTAATGCAAAAGTGACTAAGCCCACAAAATTTAATTTCTACAATCACTGCACACACAAATATGAAGTGTAACATTTACTTGTAAGTAATTTGAACATTGCTCACGTAGCGAGGTTTTAGTAAACATTTCTAACATTATTTATAACACTGGAACATTATTTCCTGCAGTCATCAAGAACACAGAAAATTTCCGTTATAACATATCACTAAAATGATTCATCTTTCTCCCAGTATTTCAGCAACGTTCAGAACTGTTCTTTGCATTTCAGCCTGAGCTATTTGGAGGCTACGCTGTACGAGGTGGAGCGACTCGTATCCGTTGTGCCGCTGCTGGTCCCGCACTGCGCTACCCAAGACATCGAGGTGAACGGCTTCCATGTACGCAAGGTAATCTTTGTGTTTGCTAGAAATTGAAAATAGAAGAAAACTCCTCAAAAATTCAGCATATCTCTATTGAAAACGTTTCGGAGACCAGCTCCATGTGTTGTTGTTGTAATTGCCCATCCTGGCAGTGGCGACTAGGGTGAATGGCTGAGTTGACCATGAGCTGAGCTTCCCGGTAGAACTTGTCCTCAGTGGGACTCGAACCCGGGCGCTGGGTGCGAGAGACAGAGTCTCTCTCTGGGTCTTACCACTGCACCACCATCGATAAATCTAGAACACACATACAGTCAGAAAATTAATAAAGTTTGGAGTCAAAAGAAGAACACCGAAGTTAAAAACCTAAATTTACAGGCAAAGGGCAGAATAATAAAGTAAATACCTATCTATTTACAATTGTGTTTATTTAGTTGTGCACGATGGGCATCTGCGTACGTTGGGATGACGGCTAGCAACCTTTACACTAGGGTCGCTGAGCATAGAGGGAGGAGTTATAGGACTGGGCAGTTACTATCGCGCCTTCCTCATTCGGCTGTGTGCACTCACGCCGAACAGCGCAACGTTCCAGCGTCCGACACAGACTTTAAGGTTTTAGCTTATAATACTGGTGCTTCCGATCTGAGTATTTTGGAATCATTGTATATTTTTTAAAGAGAAGCCTAGTTTAAATGCAGCCCATAGTTCTTTTTCATTTGAAATTGTGAATAGATAGATATTTACTTTATTATTCTGCCCTTTGCCTGTAAATTTAGGTTTTTAACTTCTGTGGTTTTTTTTCTCCAAACTTTATTAATTTCCTGACTGTATTTGTGTTCTAGATTTATCGAACTGACGAAGGAGCTGGTCTCCAAAACATTTCCAATAGATATGCTGAATTTTTGTGGAGTTTTCTTCGCTTTTAAATTTCTAGTGAATCTGCGATTCAAGCAATCTAGTAAAATCTGTCTTTTATATTACGTCTTTTATATAACAACTTTGATATTACGTATTTGATATTACGTCTTTGATATTACGTCTTTGATATTTTGTCTATGATATTCTGTCTTCAATATTACGTGAATTTTTAATTTAATGTACAACAACTTTTGAAATTGGCAAATTTGAAACTTAGAGATCATGCAGAATCAATTTTCCTGCATTCAATTAATGGGCTTTATTCAGAATGGAAAATGAAATTCTTTGTCTTGAGAACCAAAAAAAATTGTCGTACAATGAGTGGTCGTACTCATGATTATGATCGTGATCATGATTATGATCTTATTGATCGTACTGGGTCGCCTGCCGAAGACTGCAACTGCCCTGGATATAATGGACCATCATGATTCCTGCCTTCCGGAACGTAGCCTTCAACATTTCAAGCCGTCCGTATCTAGGCCGTGGGTCGAACCAGCCCTCGGTCGAACGGCCACTTGTCGAAGGACGATAAATTTTGGAGCAGAACTATGCTATCTGAAACCTAACTTCAGATGCGGTGAACGTAAAATTACGTAATTTAACGATGCCTGGAAGTCATATTTGATCCGCGGCCTGGTGGTGCACGACAGGTGGTGGTCAAGGCCGGAAGAGGACAAAGCCAAGTGGTGCACGGCTGATTGGTGTAGGTCAGGAGAGATCCAAGGCATTCGATTCAGGGCTTATTGGTGCATAAAATTGGTGGTGCACGGCTGCGCTCCCGATCGTACTCACTAAGAAATAAATTTTGATTTTTTACCCTCTAGTAAGAATCATAATAGTTTGAGCCCCGATGTAAACAAAAGACCCCACCACATAGGTCACGGTGCTGATGGGCCACGCGGGCAGCTGTCACGGGGACCCGCAGGTCTGGCAGCGTCCCGACGAGTTCTATCCCCCGCACTTCTTGGACGAAAACGGCAAATTCTGTCCCAAGAAACATGGCTTCATCCCTTTCTCGATTCTTGAGAAGGCTTATGTTTGGGCTCATGGTGTAAAAAATTTTAAATTTTAGTGCTGGTGTGAATCTTATTATACTCGTAATTTTTATAGTGTATTTTACTTTCTGTCATTTCTGACATTCTAACGTCATTCATATCTAATTAGTCACGAGTCTGCTGTGAAAATCAGGCTCTGATGAAGTTGTTGTTGTTTGCTGCTCCTGATGCTCCGCCCTCATTTTTGAGTATACATTTATAATGAAAGTTCCCTTTTTTCAGTACTAGAAAATTAACTTTGAACCAAATATCAATACAAAGTTTAGTAAAGGTAAGTGTTCAAATTTGAGCACAACTAACGCCGTGCGACTTGCTGCAGCCAAAGCATGCTTCTGCCCTCGCAACATCTCACTTGAAGTGCAGTCTCACCAGCAGACTTTATTAACTCGCTAGAGCCAATTTCAATTGGCTATTTGATATACTTATCAAAAAATCATTATTAATCAATACTTCTTGATGCAAGATTATTGAACTAGCTTTAATGTCATTGTCATTAATTATTATTTTTGATTTTATTAATTAGATTTTATCATTTTTGTTGGAGGGTTGTGATGAAAAATGCTTGTGCTGTCACATCATGAAACCCTAATTTATACTGATTCTATATTTTCAGACCCATTCAAAATCTTTCGATTTCGATCTATAGTCTAAAAATATTTATTCGTATTGCTGAATCGCATATCGCCTTGTAAGTCACCAGTTAAATTACTTCCGAGTTAATTTTGGTTGACTAATCTGCCGATATCATTTCTTTTCATACAATATATATGGTGTCTTGAAAGAAAGATTTATGTTCCGCGACATCAAGTAGGATCAAAATTTTGATACCGTACTGTATAATTCGTCTTGCCCGGAGTGTTCATTTGTTAATAAAATTAGATGTTATTCTTTTAATTTCATTCTTTATGAAACTTTATCTAGAAAAATAGTGCGCAATCGAAAGACTTACTTATTGCGATACAACTCTCGTATAACATTACCGAAATTACCTTGGTAATCTTGGTACTTGTTTGGGACGTAGCAGTCCCAGGCCACGATGGATCGCCGCCTCTGATTATCGTTCATCCGCCCTCATTTAGGCCACCTGATGCACGATGCTGTTGCTTGCTTCTCGCCGCTGGTAGTGTTGCAGGGGAGGACGATCTGGGATTGTACCCAAGAACACGTCCAGTTGTCTCTTGAAGGTCTCCAGGGTGAACTCCCCCTCTCTTAGATCCCTTGGTAGGGCGTTGAACAGCCTTGTGGCCCTTCCACGGAAAGTGATCCTTCCCGCAGGGATTGAAATCTGACTGCTGATCTGTTACGTAGGGGGGGGGGATCTTGCAGAGTCTCCTCCTTCTCTCGTTGTGATATGTCTTAATCCTGAAGGTCTCGCTCTCGAAGTTTGACACCATTCCGGTTATCATTTTCCATGTGTACAGAATGACATACCTCTCCCGTCTCCTCTGCAGTGAGTACAGACCCAGTCGCTGTAACCTCTCCCAGAAGTTAAACTTCTCCATCCCTCTGATCCCGGAAGTAAAGCTTCGTTGGACTCCTTGCAGTTGCCGTATTGCGCCTAGTGTGAACGGAGTCCAGAGCTGGCAGTAGTATTCAAGGATAGGTATTACAAGGGCTCTGAAGAGTGTGATCATCGGTTCCGCTTCTCTCGTTCTGAACGTCCGCCAGATCCATCCCATCTGTCGTCTACCTTTTGCGGTTATTGCCGGTATGTGATTACCAAAATTGACCTGATTGTTCATCAACACTCCTAGATCGCGAACGAGTCTCTTCTTTTCGATTTCCGAGTTGTCAGGTGCCTGGTAGCGGTGATCCATTCCAGCTCTTCCGAATCCTCTGTACAGACTGTACCTCAGGACCTCAAACTTGGTCCCGTTGAACTGCATATGTTGTTCACTTGGGCCCAGTCATATATTGCAGAGAGGTCTTCTTGCAACCTCTTACTGTCCATCCTGTCCGTGATGGTCATTAATATCCTGGTGTCGTCCGCGAATGACGATACAGTGGCTTGGTTCACTGCCACATCTATGTCGGCGATGTGGATGAGGAAGAGGATTGGGCCGAGTACCGTTCCCTGTGATACTCCACTCTTCACCCTAGCCACGCTCGATCTCGAGCCTCCAACAACTACAGCTTGTAGTCTTTCTGTTAGGAAGCTATGGATCCATGCCAGCAATTCACCTCCGACTCCCGGCAGTCTTAATTTTCTGAAGAGCACTCCATGGTCAACTTTGTCAAACGCTTTCGCACTTTAGGTCAATGTTGGTGATCACATACCGGCAATAACCGCAAAAGGTAGACGACAGATGGGGTGGATCTGGCGGACGTTCAGAACGAGAGAAGCAGAACCGATGATCACACTCTTCAGAGCCCTTGTAACACCTATCCTTGAATACTACTGCCAGCTCTGGACTCCGTTCACACTAGGCGCAATACGGCAACTGGAAGGAGTCCAACGAACCTTTACTTCCTCAGATCCGCGGTCAGATTTCAATCCCTGCGGGAAGGATCACTTTCCGTGGCAGGGCCAAGGCTGTTCAACGCCCTACCAAGGGATCTAAGAGAGGAGGAGTTCACCCTGGAGACCTTCCAGAGACAACTAGACGTGTTCCTGGGCACAATCCCAGATCGACCTCCCTTGCAACACTACCAGCTTCGAGAAGCAAGCAACAGCATCGTGCATCAGGTGGCCCAAATGAGGGCGGATGAACGATAACCAGAGGCGGCTATCCATCGTGGCCTGGGACTGCTATGTCCCAAACAAATACTAAGGATACTAAGGATACTAAAGATTAATCTACCAATCTAAAAAATTATCCACATATACATATAAAAAATCAGTCTTTTATTTGTATATATGGGGCTTATTTTTGAGATTGGTAGATTAAAGTAGACATCCATGTAGGGAAGGTGAAACATAAAAATAACTGTGTAAAAATAACTGTAAGCAAACTAAAACATGAAAAAATACCTGTAAGTGGTAACTGGTAAAAACTTAACAAGTAACAACTAACATGTTGACACTATATATACACTGGGAACCTTATTTCTAACAGTTATTTCCAGGGGAACCTAGGGGAACCATATTTTATTGAGAATTAGTTGCTAGAAAAAAAGGCTCCAAGTAGAAATACGTGCAATAAAATATGGTTCCCCTAGGTTCCCCTGAAAATAACTGTAAGAAATAAGGTTCCCAGTGAAAATATTATAAAAGGAACCTTATTTCTGACAGTTATATTCAGGGGAATCAAGGGGAACCATATTTTATTGCAATAGTAACAGGCTGAGGTTGACAACATTACACCAAAATCTTTCGTACAGTTTTATTCTGCAATTTATATTATGTATGTATCATGCTGGTTTTTTAATAATAATTAATACTATTAAGTAAAATCTAAAGGCTTTGTCTATAAATGTAGCGGTAGCGCTGTAGCGGCAAAACCTCGTATCGCTACTTAAATATGTAGCGGGCGCTACCGCTACCGCTACATTGCCTTAAATGTAGCGCCGCTACCGCTACCGCTACTGAAAATGTAGCGGCCGCTACATGTAGCGCGCTACTGCCCACCTCTGTAGTAGGTCACTATGAGCATTGTGATGTGTAGCGTCTCTATGCGCATTGTGATGTGTAGCGTCACTATGCGCATTGTGATGTGTAGGTCACTATGTAATGTCATGCTACCTCAACATCAGCGTGAGGTGCCGGGAGCACTCAAATGAAGAGCCTCTATCATTCCCCGGACTGTTGAATGTCATGCTACCTCTACGTTAGCGTGAAGTGCTCGTAGCAATTCTCCGTGCATCAAAGATCTAGTTTACTAGTGATGACGGACCAGCCAATGAGGGGTTGCGAAATTAACCCCTAAGTATTTCAAAAATCTGCCGTCATCGAGGTTCAAATATTCGTTTATATGGAAAATGTACCTACTCAAAAATTGCATGGTTCCTCAACCTTGGACAGCTGGCAACTTTGTGCTGAAAGTCTGGCATTTGCTGGTGCATCATTACCATTGTAATGGAATGCGGGCATTATTAGAGGCGAGTTTAGCGTCGCTATTCAAAGGCTAGAAGAGCATTATACAATTAATCGAATTAACTTTAGTATTTGCAACGCAACGCGGAAGCATCGTGAATAGAAGAAAATTCGCGTTGAAATCCAACCTGATAAACAATCATTAATTGCGTTGGATTTTTTTTAGCAATGATCCAGCCTACAATGATCCTTTGTTCTGGCAGTATTACTGTGAAAATGTTATTCATCTTCCTGGTATCGTTACCGATTTCGGATCAATCTTTTCATGGAGATGACATGCAAGCGCAAAGAAATTTTAAACGGATCTTTAAGATTTCTACTCTAAGTGTCTTAGCAGCAAGTAATTTTATCTATGAAATTAATCCTGCCAATGTTATTTACCTGCCTATGGTAAGAATGTGAACGACGACACATGAACATGATAAAAAAGTCACAAGACAGTTTACTCATTTATTAAAGTTATCTCTATCATAAGCTAATTCTTAGGTTCGTACTTAGTTACAGTTGAAACTCGTTATATTTCGTATTCTGCCTGCATAATTGAGTGAGTCTATGAAAAATATATTTTTGTTTTAAAACTTTTTTTATTATTTAATGAAAATGCATCTCTAGAACAAGTTATACTTAAGTTAACCACCTCAAAAAAAATGAACGAAATCGCACGCGCTCTAGCAACTGTTTCTGGTAGACTGATATATACAAGCGTACTGTTGTGTTTGACAGCGAGCAACGGTTGTTTATTTGTAAATTGGTATCCGTTTGAGGCCGGTTCCCATTGACTGGTTGAGTTCGCCTGGTAATAAAGGGCTTGTCATCGTGAACCACGAAGCCATCAAAGATTCATTTTCAATGTTGCACTCACTTTGCAGTTGCGATCTTGCAGATAGATTCAATAAGGGGAGCGCAGCCGTGCACCACCAATTTTGTGCACAAATAAGCCCTGAATCGAACGCCTTGGATCTCTCCGGACCTACATCAATCAGCCGTGCACCACTCGGCTTTGTCCTCTTCCGGCCTTGACCACCACCTGCCGTGCACCACCAGGCCGCGGATCAAATATGACTTCCAGGCATCGTTAAATTGCGTAATTTTACGTTCATCGCATCTGAGGTTAGGTTTCAGATTGCATAGTTCTGTTCCAAAATTTATCGTCCTTCGAAAAGTGGCCGTTCGACCGAGGGCTGGTTCGACCCAC